ACGTGCGCGCGCACACACACACACACACAGACAAAAGCTTATCCCCTCCGGTGTGTGAAAGATGGTCAGCTTTTTGTGGCCTTCAGATTAGTGTGGTCTCTCTCAGTGAGATAAACTCCCACACACACATATAAGAACACAGACACACACCTGAATGCACTGAGAGAGCAAATACACCTGCATGCACACATACTGACATACAAAATCACATGTACGCGCACACACACACACACACACACAGTGTGATTGCATTGTGGTGATGTACTGAAACATCTGCATCAGACTATTGGCTGTTTATGTGCAGCTCAACTTACCGATCAGCCCGGGGAAATGTCCAATCAGGAGAAGGGCTGTACCAGTGGAGATGCTCGTTAATCGCTACATCGGAAATCAATTTACATGCGCAGTGCGTGCAAGGAGTAATATGGAAGTTAACATTTACTCTTTCGCCTGAGTCCCTGAGTGTAAAAAGAGCCCACTGAGAGATGTAGGTGTTACTGATGTGTTCATGTGATTACATGATTTGAAATGCTATTTCCTCTTATGGCCATGGGGGGAAAACAAGTACTTTCTACTGAGGAAAATGGATTGAGGATGGCGTTTATGTTACTTTGCACGAACCTTTAAATCCTATTTGAGGAGAGATGGAGGTAACAAAAGCAAGAGAGAGAAAGGTAAAAGACGCTCCAGGTTGGAGGCATAAATTGACAAAGAATCAGAATGATAAACTTGCATTGACTGAAACTGCAGTGAGAGCGAGAGAGCAGTTTCATACTGATCAGATAAGAGTGTGTAGAGACCCATACATTCACACGGTCCACAGGACTCTGCAGTAACACAGCAATGAATCCTGGGCTGGAGCAGGCGCTGTAAACTGACCTATAAGGCACAGAAGAAGGAACAGCGACACCAAGGAGGCTTTCATCACACACACATACAAATGTGAGGTTAATTTCTTATCTATAATTAAGTAGTTCATCAAAAACAGACAGATCCATTTCTTTTAGAGCCTTACACAGGTTTTATAGGTATAACCAGAACAAACAGAAGACTCATTTAAAAGCAAACACAGCGGGCTGCTCTATTAATTGTTTACATGATCAATGAATATTTCAATTTATTCTAGAAAATCTAAAAGAATAGTCCTATAATACTTGTTTTGTCTGACCAACAGCCCAAAAGTATTCATATAACAATGTATAGAAACAGAAAAAAGGAAGCAAATCTTGACATATAAGAAGCTGGAACAAGCACATGCTTGGCATTTCTGCTTTATAAATAATGACTGATTCATTATTGATTCATTTTCTGCTGATTTTGACTATCTGATTAATCACTTCAGCACTAATGCTTACAGAATACAAACATGAGTCTGCAAACCTTCATGTGTGGAGCCCCCGGTACTGTAGAGAAGGATGTTGAACATTTAAAGAGATTGGAAAAAGCAGATCCGTGATGTATGATGAGGAGGGCGCAAGGTTATTCTAAAATGGAAAAGAAGAAGAAGAAGACATCCCGGGAGGTGTGGAGGTGGATGAGGTTTCACAACTAGAGATGAAGGAGGTGTAAGAGTGAGAAAATGATCACAAAGTCTATCAAAATGCAAAATGGAGCGGTTGGGACTGGTCCCTCTGCTACTATTAACCAGCAGAGAGCTGCTCTGGTTAACATATGGTGAGGAAAGGAGTGAGAGCATGTTCACACACTCACACACATATATCAGTGAGGGGGCTTCTTTCAGTGATCAAAGACTGGGCTCACTCATTTAGACCAAACCAGCCTTCTAAGACATGGTAATGGGTATGGATGGAAAGGACTACAACACTGTCAGGGGAGTGTGCGCATGTGGGGCCTCTCATGAGTGCATCCATGCATGCATCATTGTGTACGTTTTGTAGGAGTTATGGTGCATTTTATTAAAAGAAAAAAAAGAAAGAAAGAAAAAATGAAAAAACAAGGATTTTTATGTGGCACTGAACCAGAGCGCACACAAACACAGAGTATACAGCTAGGCTATATTTCTTCGTCATATGGCCGTGGCGGGCCGAGAGACAGCTCTCTGTCAGTGTGCAGGCTCATCTCGCTCCTGCGCAGGTTATTACGACTCAATCGCGAAGCGTTTGAGTGAGCTGGCGCAAACGGCACTCAGCACAGCTCTGTCCCACTGCGGGGGAGAGACGATAATGCACTTCTGAAATATGACACCCTTCCCTGGCACCACACTCCCACTATGTACATCCTTCTACATGAGAACGCTGTATCCAGGCTGTGTCTGACTCCCACAGTTTGTATTGGTGAACTGATTCTGCCCTTGTCCTATGATACAGAATTTCTGAATGACACACGTGTATGTTGGACGTCTGCTCCTGCTGAGCACAAACACAAGTTCATTCAGAAGGTTGCATCCTGGGACATTTTTCCCCCTGCATGTTCATTTGATTAGGAGCAAAAAGGGGCGCCATAAATGATAGCCTACTGATGACTGATTTCAAGATTCCAGCTGCAAGTGCTGTGTCAACAATGTCACCTGTCCTGTATATTTCATGCTTAACCCTATTGAATGTGACTCCCCCCTCCCCCTCCCCCCACTTCCCATCCCTTTGGCATGCGGTTCAAATAAGCTCTGTGTGAAATGGTTAACAACATGGACCCGTGGCCGTAAAATTCCGCTGTCCCATTGATTACAGGGTAATAGCTGGATAGATTAATGTGTTTCTCGGGGGGTTCATGCCTCGGCAATGAATCGGAATCACTCACACAGACACAGCAAGTGGAGCAGCCTCCATATCCAATAACCTGCATTTCTATTCTCACTCATATTTCACACACCAATTACTGGTTGGTCCTTAAACAAGCTCCTTCGTGTCTTCTTCGCCGGTCTTGGCCTTATGAACCTCCTCTGATGAGACACGGCGTCTCACAGAGTTAAGCTTGATCAATTTGGAAATGTCATTTTTTGGAAATTGATAATACAATTCAACTTGGTGCAGTGGAAACGGATTGGAACAAATCTGGAGGCAAAATGAGAAAGTTTAGGGGAACATGCAGTGAACAAGAGTGTGTCTGATTGTGTGATTATGTGTAAGGGGGGGGGGGCGCTGCAGCATTATAATATATTGCAGAGTAAGTCAAAAGCTGTGATGGAACAGTGCTTTCAGAGCTCACGCGCGCAATATCCCCTGCCGACAATAATGCGCAACGCTACATCACTGGCATTAAATATTCAGCAGCTCAATACAACCAGGTGAACCTGTGCACCTACACTCACCGAGGAGAATGTAAGGAAAAAACACTGCATACTTCTGTTAAAGACAAGCAAATCTGATTTACATAATCAAATCAATTACAACAACCAACTGTCAGAGTTCATTTATTTTGCTCTCAACTTGAGGAGGAGGGCACACCTCCTCGGTTCAGCCATGCCTTCACTATTCCCTGTTGAAAATGAAGTCATTTGTACGGGGAGGTATTTTATGTAGCTAATATTAATGAGACCTTTTCAGCTGCTGCCATGACAAAAATCCTGAAGTGGCCTCAAGCCATCATGGAAAAGCAATTTCCCAAACCAAACTGACTTCAGCAAATTGTGCCATTTGAATGGGTGATTAAAGGAAGCAGCATTCAGTTTAAGTTTAATACATGGAGGGAGGGGAACAGATTTACTGTAGATTAGCAAATGGTAGCCTAATAGTAGCTTTCACTGTCCACGGTGCTGATACTTCTCTGCTATAAACCACTGAGGAAGTTTCCTAAACATTGTCATTTCGCCTTTCCAACAGATGCTTGTCTGGTCTTATTTCTTCTCTTAGAAGAGTATTTGCTACTGAGCAGCATAAGCGTCAACTTCCTGCTCCAAAAAAAAAAAAAAAAAAAAAAAAGATCAGAAAGTGAATTACATCATTGCTGAACTGTTCGGCTGCCTTACCAAAAGACAAGATACCATCATTCACCAACAATAATTTCCCAAGGAATATATGCAATCCAGTTTACACTTATGACATATACTCTATAGACTCTGTGTTGCCCTCTCCTCTCCTCTTACCTGGTTATTAATGCACAGAGCAAGGTGTTTCCTCTCCCGAGCCACAGCCAGACTCCCGCTGCGCAGCCTCGCCTCCTCTCCCTGGTACATGCTTCTGGAAGGACACCGCTCAAGTTAAGACACAAATAAACTCTCCAAATATCTGAAATCTGCTTGAAGCTGCGAGTATGTGAACAGCCTGTCCTCTCCTCTGTCCTGCTGCAGACAGTGCCGTTATGCAGGATTTTTTTTATCACTCATCAGTGCCTGTCGAAGCAGCCTGTATGCCGGGAGCTTACCATGTATCCTCAGTACAACAGCGTTTCCTCACATGTATGACTGATGAAGATGAGTCGGTGGATGTGACACTAACCTGTACGAGCCGTTCCTCAGCATGACGAGCTCTCTCTCTCTCTTTCTCTCTCTCTCTCTCTCCGCGGTCAGACAGAGATGAAGTGAACAGTTAGAGTCGGGAGCAGCCGGAGAGAGAGCAGACTTGGAAAATTCTCGCAGCCAATGGGATGCTGAGCGTGTGCGCGTGTTTTTTTTTTTAATATATACAGCGCCCTCCGCGCGCGTGTTGACGATGTGGTTTAACTTGGCGATCGGCTTTAATCACAGCATTAATTATCTGCACGCCTTCTCTCTGGGGAAGGACAATCGCATACTACAGTGGGCTATCTCAGCCCATTATGCCAGGCTTTTGAAATGCTTCACTGTGTGCCAATCTATTTGCTCATAGCCTAGATATGGCGTTATAAAGGTGTACATTACACAGTAGGTGTGGGCCGGGGGCAGGAGGGACACACATGTTGAACAAAGACCTGCATTTTTTTTTTCAAGCACACGTCATCCTTACACAGCAGTGAGGTGAGCTCCAGACAGGTGAGGTGTTAGGAGAACTCCATCTATCTGGTAATCGAGATTTAGTTCAGTGATTATAGGTTTCCAAATTATCAAACCATCCCAGTTGTTTTGAATGGAGGACTTCCACATCTGTCCAGTAACTAACTACTACAAAAGGATCCTTCTACCAGTGTCCTACGGCCTTGTGTTTGTGCTGGGCCTGACTTTAAACGGTGCCCTGGTGTGGTGTGTGTGGGCTCGGACGCGCCGCTGGAGCAGCACGGTGATCTACATGGCCAACCTCGCAGTGGCGGATCTTCTCTACGTGCTGGCCTTGCCCCCTCTCATCATCAGCAACGCCATGGGAGACCTGTGGCCCTTCGGCAACATCATCTGCAAAACCGTCAGATTTTTCTTTTTTGTCAACCTCCACTGCAGCATGATGTTTCTCACCTGCGTCAGCGTGCACCGTTTCATCGGGGTGTGCTTCCCCATCGCTGCTGTGCGCCTCAGGACCAAAAAACTCGCCCTCTTTGCGTCAGGCTCGGTTTGGGTCCTGGCCACTGCAGAGATTTTACCGACGCTGGTCTTTGCGCACACAGGTGTGATCAACAACATGACAGTGTGCTTTGAAATGACTAACCCGAAGCAGTTTAACGTTTACTTCCCCTACGGACTGTTTTTGGCCATAGTGGGGTTTCTGATCCCATTCCTCGTCGTGGTCACCTGTTACTGCTCCATGATGAGGGTGCTATATTGCGGGGTCGCCGACAGCATCTCCAACGCCAGGACAGCTCGTGTGCGTAACAAGTCCCTGTACACCCTCTTAGTTGTGTGTCTCATGTTTGTGGTGTGCTTTGTGCCTTATCACATTACTCGCACCGTCTACTTGTTTGTGAGGGTCTACATACCCGGAGAATGTCACCTGCTGAACGTGGTCATGATCTCATATAAAGTGTGGAAACCTGTTGTCAGTTTCAACTGCTGCGCAAATCCTCTCCTCTACTTTTTGGGCTCTCATCGGCACCGTCAGGAGCTCCGAGCCTGGCTGTGTAGGAGGAAGAAGAGAGTGCAGCCCAGTGTGTGTCTGGTGGATGCAGGCAACACAAACAGGTCCGGAGGGTAGACAACATCCATCATTGGACTCATCAGTCTATCCAGTGATTTTTTTTTTTTTTTTACCATGAGCCAATGGTCAGTAATAACAGTAAGGACTGTGCCAACACTGTCTACAAGCTGTGTTTAATAACTCCTTTTATTGTTTTAAATATAAAAAATACGTATTTGGCAACATTCAACAGGTCACAGAAGTTCCTGACTAGTGAGGGAGTTTTTTTTATACACTATAAGTTATTCTAGTAACTTAATATAAAACCTGGAAGATCAGCAAAAGTATGAAACTAACTGATACTGCAAATACTGAGGTTGCTAGAGGCGGGTATTAAAAGGCAGTGATACTGTGGCCAAAAGTGATTTTTAACATTTGTGGGAATTACTGCCCTCTGTCGTTTGCAGATGGTCGAGTCTCTAAAACAGACACTAAAACAGTATCCAGGCACCATAAAGCATCAGCCCAATTTTATAATACAATTTCCTAGGCAAAAAGAAAAGTTTTTCTCCCAACAGTGGGGCAAATAGAAAATAACTTAGGTAGGTAGGTTCAAAAATAATCTCTATGGTGATAATAACTGAAGTAAAAAAACAGACACCCATCTAAATACCCAGAACAACAGTCATGTGAAGGATAAAAATACCTTGAAGGTAAAAAGTGCTACAACATCTTGTTCAGGAAGAGGACATTTTGTAAGCATCCTTTTTTTTTTTTTAGTGCATACTTGTCTGGAGCCACAGAGCAACAGTGTTGGAGGAGCAGACAGCCGAATGAAGGGCATCATTTCAGTACACTCCTGTGGGCAAGTGATGACAGATGGGTAGAGCAATGGTCTGGGAGCTGAGAGCAGAGAGGACAGATTGAGTAAAGAGGAAAAAGGAGACCAAAGTTTTAGTAGAAGCGTTACTTGTGTTTAATTGGTGGTGTTGCAGGAAAACCAACCCTCCCGGCCTTCCATTAAAAAAACAAACAAATGTATTGCCAGCGTCAAGGTTAGAGGCTGAACTCATTAATAAATGGATTTCTGTTTGAATTGTGTTTAATCATTAAGTGGGGTGTGTGTGTGTGTGTGTGCGTGCATACCTGTGCGCCCAGCCTGGAGAGGTACCGGTTGCGTAGGCCAAAAGCAGACATGGGTGCTAGTCTCGCAAACTCACCCTCTGTCAGCCTACTGGGCCGCCTTTTAATCCTGCAGGAATAATAATGGGGCCATCTTTATCACCTCTACACACAACACTAGCATGAGCACAATTATGTAAATATTACCAACAGGATTAATCTCACACAGCCTGTTGATGCAGGATGAAAATATGAGTGGACCATAAGTGTTGGGAATAAAACCTACTTGAGAAACAACAAAGTGGTACAACATTCAAATGCCTTCAAAGGTTTGGGTTTAATTAAATGTAATTGTTCCATGAACAATCTGGAATCAAACATGATTTGGTTCCACAAAAAGACTTCAGGTGATTTTTTTTTTTTTTTTTTTTTAAAGTGGCTTTCCTACAATGAATCTTCCGTAATGTCTCAGTCATATAACTTCTTGTACAACAATCAATAACACTTAACATTTGGTAATTTAACACAAATATTCTCCATTAAACAAAGACTGCACGGCTGAGCCTTTCACAACATCACAGTGCAAATGGGTGACCAGTGAAGAGAGCAGCTTGTTTCTGGCTATGACACACTGATCACTTCAATGTGCAATTCACACATTTTGACATTATGCTACTGACCGTTATCTCACATGTGTTGACTGTGTTGTTCAGAATTTGATTGGGACTCATTTGCCCAACTGAGGTAGTGAATGTTAATCATCCACAGTGTGCATCCCTGACAAGAACATAGCGAGACAAATCTCTTTCCACATTATGGTGAGATTTAAGCAGAGTGCATGAGCATTTTGTCGCACTGCTCAGATGAAGCAAGCAATAATTTGGGTCAGTGCTTACGAGTTAAATACCTGAGCTTGATAAAGGGGCAAAACATAATCGACAAAACATTATTTATACGTGGAACTGATTCTTTAAAAAGGTCACATTAATTAAACAGTTTGTAAAAAGTTGAAACTGTGCATATCATTACACAGATAAATGCACTCAAAAGTGTGCCTCTCTCTTTTCTTATCTTTCTGATTATTATAGTATTGTACCATTTGATGATGTAACACAAAATACATTTTTATGAATTTCTGAAACCAGAGAAGAGCAGATAAAGGAATTGAAAAAATAAAAGAATTGAGCAATAAAAGTTTAAACACTAAAGAGCTATGCTCTTTTTTTTCCCCTCTCTTTTTTTTTTTTTTAAAGATTATCTACCATAAAAGGTCAATGTTGCATATGATTAGAACTGAATATATCTGCCTATGGACAGTCCAGTGAAGAAGGTTTTGGCTGGCAGTTACTGTGAATGCTGACAAATGATATGTACATAAATGAACTGCTGAGGTGTCTGTAATAAGGCAAGTAACAGAGTCCTGCTGAAGACAATTCATAAAAAGAAACATATAAAAAAAAAACATTAAAAAATATTCACATATATCAGATATATACATATAAAAACAATTGAATTAATATAGGAACCCTATATTGTGAGTTACATTGGCTTGTAAAAGTCAGTATGAGAAGTCACTATGTCCAAACTAGGATTTCTATTTTGTCAGTGTCCTGATGACATCAGCTATTATTACAGGATTATGTAATAGCCAGGGCCAGACAGTCAGTTCTGGTGGGAAGAGTCACAGATGACAGCACTGGGCGGAGTCAGTAGCGCAGTCCCGCCCCATGGCAGTTGATTGACAGCTTTGGGGTGGACAGTGCAGCCTGCTGGCTCTGAAGCCCAGGACCATGTGTGTTCCCATCATCATCATCATCATCATCTGGAAAATATCAATTACAGCACGGACCGGAAAATATTAGTCAGTCAGCATAAGCCATATATAGATTAAGCCACAGATAGATTACCAGAGAAATTGAGACATAGAGAGAAACAGATGTGTAGTTTGTATTTACATTGTAGAGACTACATAAACCAACCACAGGTGGTGTGCAAGCCAGTATATATGTAATGAAAGCTGTGACCTAAATAAACATGCCCACTTGGTGAGCTGACACAGAAACCATTTCCTCCATTCTGTGGTAAAGGAAGTTTTGTTTTTTTCAGTAAATTTCTGTTCTGTCACAAATTGTTGTGCATAAGCAGTTCACCGCCATCCAAGAAGACAAGTCATTTTTATAATTTGTGTTTTCCTAAATTCAGGAGAATAAAAAATGGACCAGAACTCATTCAGAACCAATAAATTCTAAACGTGAGTACTTGCAAAGACGTGAACATTGACAGTGGTATTTGACACACTGTACCTTAGTACTTGAAGGGCCATGAGCAGTTTTGCTATAACAACCACTCGAAAATAAATGAAAACTCAATCATCCAACACATAGATGGTAACATGACTCATCACCTCTTTACACTTCTGACCCTTGTAAATTATAAAACTAGGAGATGTCGATTTACAGTAACATGAAGAATGTGAGTCATGTGGTTAGAGTGTAGAAAAATGGGACCAAAGAACAAATCCATAAAAACATGAATTGAGAGTCACTAAGCAGCACACATCCAGTAAATTAGCACAGGAGCTCCTGCAAGTGTTGCTATCCAAAATATGCCTGTGCCTGTTGACTATATGAGTGGGATGTTCATTATGTTTCTGATATGCTTGTCTAATTGTTGGGTAAGTGGGTGGAAAAGAAGTGATGGAGGGTCAAAGCTACTCACTCTGCATCTGAAGTGGCTTCCTTCTGGAGTTTGGCTCTGGCTGCAGCTGACTGGTTCAAATCTCCTCCTGGAGCCAGAGAGAGGGAGATGGAGAGATTATGAAGTGAGTGAGTCTGGAGGTAAGGAGAGGGGTGTGCTTAACAGTGGCAAAGTAAAGAATGCCACATGAGAAAATGAAGAAGTGGGGCAGGCCGGGGAAAGAAAATCTGAAACAATATGACGAGGGAAAGAAGAGGAGTGAGAGAGAAGTGAAGCAGTGGAAGAGTCTAATTCTCCAGTCTTCCCTTACCTCTGAGATAATCCACAAAGTACAGCATCACCACTGCCATCAGTGCAACTGCAAGAAAGACAGGGGAAAAACAAGGTGGGCAATCCATGACAATGTCACTCAACAGTGTCTAACATGAGTTGCAAGACTATAATCTCATAAACACACACAAAACAGACAGAAAACACTGACTGCAAATGCAGGCACAGAAAAACACTTCCAAAACCAGGTATCCTCTGGTGTCTAGGATGGCTCCGGCTGCCATGGCAATGAGAGCAAGTCCCAGGTTCTGGATAGACTGCATGCTGTTGGCCAGAGGCAAAAGATAAACATCGGTTTTAATGTAAAAAAACAAAACAAAACAAAAGTCAGATAATTATCTGTTGGTAGATGGGCCACCAAAGCAGAATAACGTCATTAAAAGTTCATACAAGCCATAGGCTGTCCCCAGCTGATGCTCAGGCACAACAAACGCCACCATGGGCCACAGTGCACAGGCCAGTAAGGAGTAAGAGACTCCCAGCAGGGACTGGAAAACAAGCAAGAAAACACATCGTATTACTTTATATGTTTCCAGGCTCTCCACAGAATTCCTTGGTTAGAAATTACATAGCTTGTGCATTGTCTAAGAAAATTACATGAGAACATGCATTTAACATCCTACTGTGGAACTTCTGATCTTCTTACTATTTTGAGGTGGGCAGGGTTTAGTTAAAAAAAAAAAAAAAAAGGTACTTTCATGCATCAATCAGGATTTAGCTAAATTTGGATAACAATCTGATGACATTTGTTTGGTCATTGTCAATCACATCTGATTAAACCATATCGCACAAAGTTCCAATGAAGCAGATTAGCTGAGCTCTGAAGTATTATTCACTTCTTAATAAGTAATGCCTAAAAACTTGATTGTTGCTTATTTGAAGCTATATTTTAAAGGAACTTGCAGCAAATAAGAATCTGCATATTAATT